GGCCCGCCCCGCAGGCGGCAGAACCAACCCGCCGGGGGGGGGGGGGGCATGCACTGGGAAAACCCCAGCACCAGCGACCTTCCTGGGGGCAGCACCTGTGCAAGAGAAGTGGGGGGGATGCTTTCTGGTGGGAGGGTGCCTGGAGCCATTAGGAAAGCGCTGGGGCTCCCAGTAACTGTTTTTTTTGGGGGGGAGATATGGCAGGATGCAGCGGAGCCTCCAGGGCTTTGCCTGGGATGGGGAGCAGTGGGAAAGTGGGGGTTGTGGGAGGGCTAGATGCCAAATTGCAATGTGGGCTTATGCCAGGTACCACAGGCTGGCACCACCCCGAGGATAGCAGCAGCAGGCAGGACAGCTGGGACACCCCACCCCCCCCAGCATGTCCTGTTGGGGTACTGGTGACCCCCCTGCCAGGCTTGCTCCCGGGGCAGGTGGCACAGAAGCAGCGTAACCCCTGCAGTGCCCATGAACGCCACGGCCGAGCCAGTGCTAGAGGAGTCAGTGGCAAGGATGGCATCCCCTGGCACCAGCCCACCACCGCTGGGGTCATCCTGGCCTCAACGAAGAGAGTCTTAACGAAGCAGCGTCTCTCGGTCACACGGTGCTGTAACACCCCTCCCCGCTCGCCAAGGCCGGAGCTGCCGGCTGCGCATGGTGCTGCTCACTCTGTTTCAGTTACAGCTGCAGTGAACTACCCCGGGGGCAGGAGGCAGGACCAGGATTGCTCATCAGACGGGCACTGCTCAGGCTTTGTGCTGGCAGGGTCACGGCTGCTGTTGGCAACTCTCTGACCTCCCAGGCTGCAGCGACCACGTGTAGTGGCAGAAGCATCACAGGTCCCAGGTGGCTGCTGCTCCCCTCTGGCTGCAGTGTGGTTGTTATTCCCATCATAGGAATAATAAAGATTTTTTGTTTTTTTCCAGCGGGCGTTTCCTGGCCTCCTTTGGCGTCAGAGAGCAGCTCCAGCCCTGGTGGGCTTGGGCTGCTTAGGCTTTGCTGGCCTCCTGCTCTCTACCTTGGGGGGAGGACATAGGGGAAGGGGGGGTCATCCTCCAAAACCTGACCTGGAAGGACTCAGTCGAGCCTGGAAAAGCCCATGTGCTGAGGGGTTTTTGTGTGCCAGATGCCTCTGGGAGCAGAAGTGGGGATCCCCATCCCTTCCACCACAACCACCCTTTCTTAGCCCCCCACCGCACCCCAACAGCCATGGGCAAGGGGGAGACCTTGAGCCTGGGGCTCAAAATAGCTTTTGTCAGAGCAATGTCAAGGGCCTCCATAGCAGTGGGGGCCTTGCCCTGGCACCCTCATTCCTGCACCACAGCCAGGCTGCTCAGCCCCCTGCCCATGCCCATATGTCATGTCCCCCCCACACACATACACCCAAGACAGCACCAGCCCCTGGCAGAGCCCAGGGAGATGAGGGAGCACTGGGGCAAGGATACAGCTCCAAGGAAAACAGGGAGATAAGCCCTTTGCCTCCAGAGCAGCACAGTGCCCGCTCAGCCAGGAGCATGCCCCCTCCACAGGGATGCCCCGTTCCACGCCAGCCCAGGGCACGATGCTGCACCCCAGCTGCTCCACCACCTCCTGCAAACACATCCTCCCCATCCCGCAAGTGCCTCTCCACTGGCAGTTTCAGCACTTTATTGTCTGGCGGTCCTGCTACAGCACCCCGCTGTCCTCCCCGTGGCTACGGCCGCAGAGGAGGGATCCGCTCCCTTGTCCCCAGCATGGCACCACAGTGTCCCTGGGAGCTGGCGGCTGCAGGAGCTGCAGCGGTCCGAGAACTGGCACTTAAGGAATCCTGGCTGGGGCCGCATGCTGCTCCTCCACGCTGGGCGCAGGGAAGGGGCGCGCGGCCAGGCATGGCTGTGGTCCGGTCCCACTGGCCTGGCAGCGTGGGTCACTTGATTTCAGTCATCTTTTAAAAACGTGGTTCTAAAATGCCACCGATTCTGGGTTCTGACCAGATGCTCTCAGCTTTGTCTCTCAAAAAAAAAACCAACCCAAACCTTTCTTCCCTTTTATGAGCAGTTTTCGATTTTGGCCAGAAATTGCTGTGCCCACCACTCCTCCAGGTCGATGGGAACAAAGTCTGAAAGAGAGGGGAGGGAGAGAGCAGAGCATAGCAGAGCAGCTGGAGCAGGGAGCAGAGCTCCGGGTGCTCCTGCTAAGCCATACCATTTGCCACTGGAAAAAAAAGTGACACCCAAAACTTCCCCCACCCCTGTGCCCTGTCCCCAAAAGGCCAGGCTGGGTTTACAGGGACCTTCTCTTCTTGGGGACTTCTTGGCCGCTGCAGGAGCCCCCAGGCTGTGTTCACAGCCCTTACTCCAGCTGCCATCAGAGAAGCACGTTGTCCCCGTCCTGCTGCGCTCCAGCTTGGTCCTGCTTGGCCCCGGGAGAGGCAGGTCCCCACGGTGGGACCTGGGGGGCTCCTCTCCAGCACAATGTTGAGCCCACCTTGGTGGCTGGAGAAGGCATGATTTCCAGAAGAGTCATCAACCAGGCGTCCTGCTTGCTTGGGCTCTTCCGACAGGGCACCGTGGGACATCCCCACCACAGTGCTGGGGGCCAGCTGCCCCCCAGCACCACTCGAGCAGCCTCAGCACTGGCAGGACAGACCCAACCCAGCCCCTCTGGCACATCCAGCACTGGGATCCTCCTTCTCTTCCCATCGCAGCCCTGCTCAGGTACCCAACTGAGCCCACACCAGCTCATCGCACCCATGAGTCCAATGTACCCCCGAGTGCCACGACTGCTTCCAACTTACTTTTCAGTCCAGGGCTGGGGGTTTTCTCTACGTACTGCACAGGGCCGCAGGTGCTCTCCCCGCTCCGGCTGCCGTCCAGCTGCTGCTCTACCTGCTGCCAGGCTGGGGGTGGGTGGAAAACAGGCAGTGGATGGTTTTGGGATGGGGATTTCCCAGCCCGGAGGGGCTGCGGGAGAGGAGCAGGAGCTGGTGCAAGGGAGGGCAGCTGCCCAGGCTGGGGACCCCATCCCTGGCATCGAGGTCCCCAGCACAATGCAGCTGCCTCAGGAAGGACCCCACATCCTCCAGCCCCCCCCCCCCCCCCCCCCGAAGCAGGTGCCTGCCCCCACGGACCCTCTGCCCTCACCTTCATAGACGAAGCGGACGTTCTCCTCATGGGCCAGCGTGTAGCACTCCTCGGGGGCCGAGACCTGCTGCGGCAGCACCTGTGGCCTCTTGCCATTCACTCTGTTGAAGATGAGTTTCTGGGCTGGGCTGTCGAGGGAAGCCAGGGGGAGGTGAGGGGGGACAGGCAGCTCTTCCCACCATGGTTTGGAGCAAGGACAGGGGTTGTTCAGATGCCCCAGGTTGCCCCGTAGCATGCACAGTTGCCCACAGCCCTGGCGAGGCCAGGGCCACAGTTGCAGCCAGCCAGACCCGTTCAGCCCTGTCCCACAGGGAAGGGACCAAAAGGGACGCAGCCCCCTGGGAGAGGGGGTTCCTGTGCGGAGAGGGGTGCAAGCGAGGGGAGCTCCCCAGGGAAAAGCACGCCCTGCCAGTCTCCCACTCATCCTCCAGCCCCAGCAACAAGTGCAGTCCCTAAAATAAAACATCTGCCACCAAAATTGCCGAAATATCAGGAAAATGGAAATGAAATCCAGTTAGGCACTGGGCAGGGGGATGCGCCGTCATGCCGTTCTCCACAGGCCAAGCACCCCGGTTTGCTGAAGCAGCCCCAGCCCCCAGCATATGCCCGAGGTGTCCCAGGACTGGGACAAAACCCTCTGCCAAGTGGGAGCAGGTCAGGCTTCCTCGGAGCTGGGATCCCCTCCCGAGAGCAGGGCACTTAAACCAGCCCCAGCCTGGAAACAGCAAAACTGGGCAGATCAAAAGGAAAGGTTTGGGATGAGACTCGTGGGCACGTTCAATGCAAAACTTCAGTATTTTGGCTTTTCTGCCCAGCTTCAGGGCGGGACACATCTGCAACGGCCACGTTTGTCACGGGACAAAGTCTAAGGGGCCCGGGAGCGCAGACGGGTTACGGTTTGCAGGGCAGGTGAGACCTAGAACAGGCAGCCCCTGCCCGCGCCTCCCCTGGCAGTTCTGCAGGCAAAGCCTGGGGCAGGGTAACGCACCCCACACCACACGTGGCCGGGGGGGGCACCGGGCAGGCATTCCCGCCTGCTGCGGGCATGGCGGCAGCCAGGAGCATGCCCAACCAACCTGACTGAAGGAGGATAAGCGTGGTAGCAGCCACACCGGTTAATTAGTGAAAGATCCCAGGAAGGAGGGGAGCTGGAGGGGAGGCTTTTCTCATCCGTTTCTTGAAGCTGGAGGAAACGGGCAGAGCTGTACGGGCCCCACAGCCCTGCCCGACAGAGCGGAGCTGCCTACTCTGCCAGGCTGGGGTTTGGCCCCAGCTCTCCAGCTGAGAAAGCATCTCCTTAGGAGGAGAAGCCATCACCCCTCCAGCTGCTTAAATCCCCTCCGACACCTGCCCAACAGCTCCAGTTATTCCTGCTACAAGCTGGGAGTTTCACCCAAAAGCTGTCCCCTTCCCTCCCTCCCTCCCTCCAGGACAACCTCCCCACCCTCCCGTGGGCCACCACGGCCTCCATGAATCCAGGGCTGCAGCTGGGACCCGCCAGCCCCGGGGACCAGGCGGTTACACACCGGTCCCCGGCGCGGTGCGGGCACTCGCCCGGCACCGGTTCCGCCAGCAGGTTTGTGCAATCGGTGCCTCCCCCGGGGTTTGCGGGTGGGTTGCACAACCCCAGCCCGGCCCGGCCCCCGGCTCCCCTCGGCACCCACACGCAGGCAGCAGCACCCCAGGCAGCGCGGTGCCCCCCTGCCTTGCCTCCCCGGCGCAGGCAGCCCGCCCCAGCCCG